AAAATTCGTATAATGGAATGAAGAGAGGATTGAGGCAAGAGATCCACCTATATCTCTCAAAGATGCTATTATGAGCTCCATCAAAATTATTGAGATGGCTTTACTCTAACAAGTAATTGGAGGAATTGAAATACAAGTATTTTCTCCAAAGTGCTCCACATACTTCCCTTCCTTTGGTTAGGCGACACGTCTCTCCACTTCAAACTCATACCTAATTTAATGATTCTCAATCATGAACGTCAACTTGAATAAATGACAATCTTTTTACCTCTCCAAAATTCACTTGAAGAATTGTGTTTATGTGGAATAAACTTCATGAGAACGTTTTTCCAAATGGATTTAATTTCCAGCAATTCAAATCCAATGTGAATCGCTACTTTCGCACAGGCACCGCTCATAGAACGCATAAGGATTTTTCTGAAATGCTTGTGTTTTTTCCGTAAGAAAAAATTACTGTTCTATTGAAAATCAATATACAGTGATTTTTTTTAATGCTCCTCTTTTATAATTTTTTGAACGGTCAACTCAAAATATTGAAATTTGGGATGATGAAATTAATGCATGAATACTTTATTTTGAAGTGAAATTGACAGATGAAACTTTCAAGATGGCGTCTGGGCGCCATCTGGGAAAAAATTAAATGGAGAGGGGGTCTTGTGACACATCTTTTTGAAGCTCCTGACAAATGATTCATAACCCTAGAATATTATGTCAATATCTTCAACTACTACAAAATGGCGAAACGTTTAATAATTGACTGAATACATTGACATTTATCTACATAATATGAGCTAATAAGCTTGAGGTGAGTTCAGAAGATGCTCGAAATGGTTATCTTGAACTTCTCGACATATGAACAGCCTATCCGATATTTCACGCCGAACATTTTCGAACACAGTAACGTCAATATCTCTACAAATATTTAATATTCTCTGCCGTATATCCAATACTGAAGCAGGTTCAGTTTCGTACACTTTCTGCTTCAAATGACCTCACAAAAAAAGTCCAAAGGTACCAAATCTGTCGATCGGGCTAGCCATTCTGTAGGACCTCGACAGCCAATCCAACAACCGGAAAAAGTAGTATCCAAATAGTTTCTTACTTGTCTGGAGTAATGTAGTGTTGCTCCATCTTGTTGGAATACAATATCCATATCGAATTCATTAGGATTCGCTTCGACGATTTCAGTGATGAGAGGGTCAACAGTAGTTTCCAGCGTATTCAAATACATTTCCCCTGTTGAATTTTGATCAATAAACAGAGGTCCTTCAATATCATTTCCCAATATTCCTGCTCGAACGTTATTTTTTTTGGATATTGGGTATGTGTTTCCCGGAAAACGTGAGGGTTGGTGCCACTCCAATGACGGAAATTTGGTCTGTGAACATTTCCGTTAAAAAAAAAAAATTACATTCGTCACTAAAACAATTATTGTGGAGATAGGTAGAATGCCTTGCAAGGTTTCCGTCATGATTTCGCAGAGTTGTGTTCTTCGATTGGGGTCATCTTCAGTTAATTGATGTACCATTTTAATTTTGTATGGATGATACCTATTCCTCTTCAAAAGTCTCCACACAGTAGAAGGAGACACCTCACAAACATTCGCGACGAAATAAATAGGCTGTTCGAGATTTACTACCATCTCACCAATTATTTGCACTTGCTGTTCTTCCGGAATGGACGGATGATCTGGGGGCTTTTTGTTATGTATACTACCGGTAGTTGTGAATTTGGATACAAGTTCCCTTAAATATTTTCTACATATGGACTATTCGGAAAATGTTCATTGAAAATCTTTTCGGTCTCGTGAAAGTTACGCGTCGCACTGTACATAAAAATCGCTTCAATTTTTTTCAATGGACGAGAATTGACCATTTGAGAGATTGTTGACGTGGAACCTTTCTACTAGTAAAACCGAAAAGTAAATGAGAATATTTTTACTGAACAATGATGTTCATTGTCGTACTGACATTTTTTGTCGTTTTTATAAACAAAAAATAACCTAACACACCTTATCGGTTTGCTGGAATGTCCATGCGGCAGATAAAAAGGAATAATTCTAGAAATATCGATATTAATGTGTTTGTCTTCGGGAAATTATTGATTGTTCTGCCATTTTGTAGTAGGTGAAGATATTGATTTAATATTCTAGGGTTGTGAAGTATTCGTGAGGAGCTTCAAAATGACGCCCAGTCGCCATCTAATCTTAATTTTCCAAAACGTTTAAAATTCAATAAGACTGTTGAAAATAAAAAATGGGTTAATAACGAAATTAAAATTTCAAGTAGAAAGTTGAAAGACCTGTATAATCTTAAGAAAACTCGTAAGGATCTTGAGTTTTGCTATAAAATGGATAAGCAAAAACACTTCAAGTTAGTGAAATTAACAAAGAAAGAATATTTCCAAAAACAAATTGAGGAGTCTGATAATCCTTCAAAAACAGCCTGGAGAATTGTTTCAGAATTATCTAATAAAACCAAAAGGCAACACTGAAGAAATTTCAATAGAGTCGATTTACCCATAGAAGTCGCTAACAAGTTTAATGATTATTTTATAGAGGTAACTAAAGTATTATTGAGTCAAATTGATAAGAGAAATCTGGACTTTCAATTTTTTGCGAGGAACATTCCAGCCCCGGGTAAATCGTTTTTTTTTAATCCTTTTACTGAATGCGAACTGTATGAATACTAAATAGCAAACTTAAAAATAAAAGTTCTTCAGGTTATGACGAACTCCCTATGTTTCTTCTGAAAAAGAGTCTCCGTGTTTTAATAAAACCTTTACTTCACTTGGTGAATCTCTCATTCAGTAAAGGAGCATTTCCTAAGCAAATGAAGATATGTAAAATCATACCAGTATATAAAAAAATAGTCGTAAATTACTGGAGAACTACAGACCTGTACGAATTCCTTCAAGTAGATCAAAAGTATTCGAATATGCTTTTTTGAATAGACTTCTATCATTCGCTCATCATAATAACATCTTTACAAAAAACCAACATGGGTTTTTGAATAACAAATCCACCACTACAGCTTTACATTCATACCATAGAGAGATTGTGGACTATATTGAAGCAGGCGAGTGCCTTGTTGGGATATTCTGCGATCTCAGCAGGGCATTCGACTGTGTTGAACATAATATTCTCCTAAGTAAGCTATACAGTTATGGTATAAGGGGTATACCATTGGCATGGGTAACGGATTATCTTTATCACAGAAAACAATATGTCGCTATTAACAATGTAACTTCCAGCATGGCCCTCTCCGAATTAGGAGTACCTCAAGGGTCGATATTGGGACCTATATTGTTTGTATTGTACATAAATGATTTGGAGTATGCAACGCCCGGAACATTCATAACAATGTATGCAGATGATACGTCGATTATAATCTCTGACAAATCAGATTCAGTTTTGAAAGAAAAATGTAAGCATGTTTTTGGAAGAATTAATAAATGGTTTTCTGCGAACAATTTGTTTTTGAACGCGAAGAAAACATATTCAATGAGATTTCATCATCGGCAACCAGAATGTGATGTCATCAGTTTTGGAACAATTGATAATTCCGACACAGCACAAAAAAAACTTATACGTATCATTAGTGGAATAAGTACCCGTGATTCATGCAGAAATTCTTTTAGAAATTTTAGAATTTAACTGTTCCCAGTCTTTTAGTTTTTGACTTATGCTTGTCTGTTTTTGAGAATAGAAACAAGTTGTTTGTACCAAATAAATGTAAGCATAATATTGATACAATACAAAAAAACTATATTTATTGCATTTGCAAAAACCAAATTAGCTTTTGTATCACCCGATCAGATGGCTCCAAGTGCCTATAATTTCCTTCCAGATATTATAAAAAAATCCAAAACCATGTATATCTTCAAAAGAAAACTCAAGGATTTTCTTGTTGATAACTGTTATTATCGCTTTGAAGAATTTATGAGTATTAGTAGGTAGTTATCATTATCTTTTTTTTTCAGGAACTTCTAGTCTCCGATCTCTTTTGTTTTTTTTTTCTATTCGACGATTCCTATAAAAAAAATTCTTAACTTTGTCAAAAATAAGGAAAATGAAGATCTATTATTTATTTATTATTATTATTATCTTGAAAATTTCATTTGTCAATTTCACTTCAAAATCAAGTATTCATGCATTCATTTCATTATCCCAATGTGTTGATGAAAAAAATAACTCTCTCAACATACGGTCATAGTTATCTTGCAATCACTTGAGTTAGTTTAGAAATGGATGTGTTATATTTTTAAATTCCATTAGTTCGGACTTCCATTATCTGATATTATCTTTTAGGGATTTCAAGGAAATCCGAACTAATGAAGTTTATCGTGAAACATTGTCAAAGAATGTCTGTAATTTTTTTTGTAGATAGGTGATACTAAGGATATTTTCAGCAGACTTGAAAATTGACCCAGTTCAACTGATTTATCCAAAGTATACGCCAAATATGGTGCAATTTCTGTAGCGCACTTTTTCATTAGGTAAACTGGAATTTCATCTTTTCTTAGATTTTTTATTCTGTAGGTTTTTTATTATACTTTCTATTTCTGACGACAAAAAAGGCTGAAAAGAAAAAGAATTCATTTTTGTTATAGATAATGTGTAGTTAATTGAGAAACCGTTACTGATAATGGATTTGAGTTGGCCATCTACTACCTTCACAGAATTTTTTTTTTATTCAGACGTGTATTAACAATATTCCAGATCGTCTTATTTTTATCATTCGATTCCTTCATTCTAACCTAACCTAACCAAGTTAGTATCAACATATGACTCGAAAAAAACTTTTTTCAGTCATCTGATTATGCTAACATGGTTAGCAAAAAGCACGAGAAAAAGTGTTTTCCATAGAACCTTCTGTGTTTGTACACGTTTGTTCACTTGATTTTTGGAGACTCTTGTCTGGTAATAATTATTCAACTTTTACAAACACTTTGTAAGTCTATAATGTAATTTTCACGAAGAGATCGAAATAAAACCAATATTGAGCAATTATCAAATAATTTAATAAGAAATCTTCCTCACAAAATTATTCAATGATTATTCAATTTCGTTTAAATGAACATTGCAGCGTGAAATGATCATTGTGAGTTCAATTTTTGGCGAAGTATTTTCTCTGAATAAATTTTTTGTCTATATGTCTTCTATTTTTAAACCAGGTGTTGATAACTTTATAAGAAAGGCTTAAGTCAACCTCCAATTTTCTCTTGACATCTTCATGTGGAAATGGGTTCATCATGAACGCTTGCATCAACTTTTCAGATTGTGCTCTGGTGATGGCTGTTCTGCTACGAGGAAAACGATCCGGAATCACTGGATTATTAACTGTATTGAATCCTGGTCGATTTGGTTTTGTATTTGGTGGTACTAATGTTGATTCAATCATTGGCAGTGTAGATTGCAGAACACTGAAACCTGAAATTTGTGTTAGGAATATTCAACTCTCAATTTTTTTCTAGACAGCACCATATATTTCTTAAATAATGTATAATAATAAAAATATATATTTTACTTTGAAATTCATTGCTTTCTTCCTTCCTTTGGAAGATTCCCATATCTTTTTGTATAAAGATGTAGAAGAAGAAAGCGAAAACTTGGCTTTCCCAAATATTCAAAATGTTTCAGAAATATACTAGGAAAATGAATGGGAAATATTCTAGGACTATTCTCCGAGCAGTTTTTCAAATAACACAATATTTGGAATAATATCGGAATATTACAATAATATCTACCTTGTACATACAGATCAACAAATTCAAATACATCTGCAATACAACATGCAGCTTTCGTTACAATGTGTACATCTGTAATAAATAAAATATATATTCTATATAGACAGCGGATGAAATCTGTAAGTCCCGTAATAGAACAAAAATACATCAGTGTAACAATCCAATCTTATTGAGGGTTCATTATTATTTTCAATTTATTCGTTTTTTTCTTTACCATTTTACAGTTCTTAACATCAATGGAGAAGTGAAAAGCCAAAAAAAAAGGTTCAAGTACAGAATTTTTGATCTGTTGTATTTATTTATTTAATTTTATGATCACTTATAAATAGGGTTATTCATGAAATTGGAGAGAGCAAAAACAGTACAAGTTCATGACCAGTATTTTCAGAAGGCGAGTCTACCAGAAAGCGACTGATTACCACCCACATTGGAAGTCTTGATGGTTTTGTTGAGGGTGGTTTATTGATGTTTGAGTCAAAGCATTCTTCCGATTACCGTAAAGACATTGATGGCGATTCCACCTGAATGTGTGATTGTGATAGATGAAGCAAGTTATCTGTTGAATCTATTAAAATCTGTTTTTACGTTAACCAGCTGTCGCCCCTCTACGAACGAAAACTCTCAAGAGTCGAAACTTGTGCGAGTTAAGGAGTAACGAAGTCTTACTTTTCAACGTGTGATTCCTAATACGGGTTGAACGATAGGAAGTGAAAATCGATCGTCCAACCTTGCGGTTCGAGCCACCGGTTCACACAGCGGTTGATTGAGAGAGTGAAGCAAACCACCCACGTCAACCCACCAGGCTACCGTCCCTCCGCTTCTGTCTCAGCTAGATCCAGTTACTTGTTGTAGAGTATAGCAAATTGAATTTTGAGCCCTTTTTTACGTCTGTCGCCAAGTTTCTTGAAATCTGGAAGTAATGAGCTAAAGAAGAGCCTGTCACTACTTCTTGTTCTTGATCGCTGGGTGTCTGTGCTTTGTTTTTTTTTAATGGCAAGCCAATAGATGAACGCTTTGTCTGCATCACTCGACTGAGGAATTATTTTTCTCTTCTTACGAGGTCTGGGTTCCTTGTGAATATCAGTTTCGTTATCTACTGACACCTCATCTACTGAAGGTATTTGTAGAGTATCTGACAAGCCTTCTTCATGGTAACTAGTGTTCCTTCATCACCTTGTATGTCGGTTTCTTCTTCTGGTGATACGTTACCAGATGCCCTCTTCATGTAAGTACGGGGAAAATCAAGGTGGAAGCGGAAAGGAGAAATATAGAGAAAGAGGAAGGAGTGGCAGCAACTATAAGTGTACCCTCGTCCTCCCCCACTCCATTTCCAACAGCAAGAGAACTTCCTGCGGCGGGCGCCAATAGCTCCGCTTTGAATAAAGGCAAGGAACCGGCTGCCCCTGCAGGAAAGCGCCCTCACTTGTACATCTCCACGGAAGGAACCCCAAGAAGGTTGAAGAAGCCGCGCATTGACAGTAATGTCGCTGAACCTTCCAAAACCTTCGCGGGGGCAGCCGTGAGACACCTCAAGATTGCCAAAGAGAATGTGTGTTAAGCGAGTCTTGGCAAATATTTGCCGATAAAAAGGAGATGTCTCTTAGTGACCTGTCCACCTTCCTGGAAAGAACAGGATGGACGATGACCTAGGAGGACAATTCCTCGGATGAACAATGGGTCACATGTGGCCTAAGTGCTGTGGACCTGCAATCACCCTCCCTACTCTACAGATACAGATTTCATTCGTATTTATTCAAAATTAATAGGTGAGTTTTTCTGATGGAGTTGAAAGTTGTTTGTTGGTAGTAGCAATTTACATTTTTCTTCTGATTGCAAATTGCAGCTACGGAAATCAGTTTTGTTGACCTGGCACTAGAGTTCTACAGTTCTACATGCGCCACATGTGAATCAGTTGCAACCTACATATATGTCCCTAGCAAATTTTGGAATTTGGCAAGAAAAAGCTCAGCGCTACTTCGAACTGTGGAGTTTGGTATTGGCTTCATCGATGGAAAACATATCCCGCGTAAAGTGCTTTTAGAACACAGGATCGAGAATTATAGTTTACAAAGATTTTTTTCTGTTGTACTAATGGTTCAGTGTTTCGTCATTCGTCAATTGGAAAGCGACTGAAAGTATGTAGCCTGAATGTTCCAAACCCTACTAGTCTACCTGGAAATATTGATCAAGATTCTTTCCCTCACTATTGTGTAGGTAATGAATCCTTCCCTTTATTACCTAACCTACTTAGGCCTTTCCCGAAGAGATTGTTAAATGATACAATATTAATTTACAACTTTCGTCTCTCCAGAGGCCGAAAAAGTGTTGAATGTGCTTTTGGTGTGTTAGCTTTGAAATTTCGCATATTTGAGGTATCAATGGCTTGTGACGAACGGTATGTTATCGTAGAGGTGATGGGAGCATGTGTGCTCCATAATTTTATTCGCCTTCGGGAGGGAAGATATCAACAACCTTCAAATTTCGCTTCCTCTCCCGCTGTGCCAGCAATGCTTGATGGCAGTACTCTACAGGAAGTGAATGGTATTCACTTTCTAAATTAGAAGGAGCGATTCCTATACAATGGAAATATGTAGGTTTGTCATGAAAACCTATAAATTAATACCCATTTTCTACGTTTTTATTCTACTTTTTTCAAGCCAAAACTATATCGCAAGAACCGTTTGTGATTATTTGAACCGTCGCGTCGCTTCCCAGGACAGTGAATTGGTAATCATAGTGGCCTGCAAGGTCCCCCAACCTAACCCCACTAGACTTTTTGGGAATATATCAAGAATCAATAACACAACACAACAAAGTTTTTGTTTCGGGGTTGAAATTAGATGATTTTAATGTATTTCCACGTGTTAAAACCGAAAGTGACCATAAAAATTATATATTAGCTCTTGTTTTCAAGATATAGTATCATTATATTATATATATGTATATTGAGTTTTCAACAAATGAAATATTTCATCACCAACAGTTGGTACACATGTTTGTTTACATAACACCCCTCTCATCAGCTGTTCTTAAGTAGTAAACATAACCTATGTGAGTTTGTCAATTGTAGGCACGTGGTTGCTATTGAAATTATCGTGTGAAGTTGATTTTTAAATTAATTTAAGTGCTGATCTGAAATGCCTCGAAAGTGTGTGAATTCTGTCGATAGCTTTTGCTATATATGTGGTGAAATAACATTTAAGGCTCAGAAACGTAAAATGACACCTATCGTTAAGACAGCCTATGAACATTATTTTGGTGTGAAAGTTGGGAACAAGATAAATCATGGGCTCCTCATATATGTTGTAATTCTTGTTCCGTCATATTGCGAGAGTGGCTGGAAAATAAAAACCGGGCAATGGCTTTTGCAGTACCTATGGTTTGGCGTGAGCCTACCAGTCATACAGACGACTGTTATTTCCGCTTAACTCCTCCCATTAAGCAAGGTTTATCTATGAAGAAAAGAGGAACGGTTAAATACCCTAATCTCCCATCTGCTCTTCGGCCTGTACCACACTCAGACAATTTGCCAGTCCCTTCTCCACCCCAAAACTATGAAATTTTAGAGCAAGGTGATGAAAACTGTTTAGAAGGAGCAACCCATCCTTCTACATCCTATGACCCTGATTTTGAGGTAAGCGATAGGTCTAGTGATCCGCACAGAATTAGTCAAGCAGAGTTGAGTGACCTTATAAGAGATCTTCGCTTGTCTAAGGAAAAGGCTGAGCTGTTAGGGTCAAGACTACAACAGTGGAATCTTCTAAAACATGATGTGAAAATATCTCAGTACAGACAGCGTCAAAAAGATTTGCTTCCTTTTTTTGAGAAAAAAGAAAACCTCGTAGTTTGTTCTGATGTTAATGGTTTGATGGACTGCTTGAATTTGGATCACACTCCATCTCAATGGAGACTGTTTATAGACTCTTCAAAACTAAGCTTAAAAGCTGTACTTCTGCATAATGGAAATCAGCTACCCTCTATTCCTATAGGTCATGCAGTTCACATGAAGGAAACGTATATAAATATGAAAACACTTCTCCAATCAATCAAATATGAACAACACAAGTGGCACATCTGTGGTGATCTGAAAGTCATTGCTATACTCCTAGGAATGCAATTAGGTACTGCAATGCAAGTACTGTTGTTTTTTGTGTCTGTGGGACAGTCGGGATAGAAAATCTCACTTTAAAAAAAATAACTGGCCTACACGAGACCTAAACCCTAATGAGAAAAATGTAGTTTACGAGCCTCTTGTAGATCCTAAGGATGTTCTCCTTCCCCCATTACATATTAAGTTGGGACTAATGAAATACTTTGTGAAGGCCATGGACCAGGAAGGACAAGCTTTTAAGTACTTGAGAGCAAAGTTTACCAGGTTGAGTGATGCTAAAGTCAAGGAAGGCATCTTTATTGGGCCTCAAATCCGTGAAATCGTAAATGATCCTGCTTTTGACATGATTTTAACAGGAAATGAAAAAAGAGCCTGGGAAGCCTTTAAGGGGGTTGTACATGGGTTTTTAGGTAACAAAAAAAAGGTAACTTCACAGCATTGGTTAAAGAGCTTCTTCAAGCTTACCACCAACTTGGATGCAACATGTCCTTAAAAATTCATTTTCTTCACTCTCATCTTAATTTCTTCCCACAAAACTGTGGAGCTGTGAGTGACGAACATGGAGAAAGATTCCATCAAGACATTGCCTTAATGGAACAGAGATATCAGGGCCGTTGGAATGAAGCAATGCTTGCAGACTACTGCTGGTCTGTGTGTAGGGATGCTCCAGAAGTGTTTTATAAAAGACAAGCTAAACGACAGCGATCTTACAATGAATCGGATGGACTTAATTGAAATTTGGTGGTACAAACTTCTTTTATTTGTCAAAACACTAAGAATAATGTTTTTTTTATTAATTTTGTACTTAAAATATTCTAAAAGAAACATAACAATATTGTTTTATGTACTTTCACTTTTCACGTATAGTATAACTACTCTTTAAGATTAAGTACTGTGTATCTCAAAAACCAGAGCTAATAAATTTTCGTTTTTATCACCCCAAAATTAGTAGAAATTGACTAATTTAGTGTAGGAAACATTCAAAAAATATTTTTTTGTTGTGTTGTGTAATTTTCAAAATGAAGATTTGCTAAGATTGGTTAGTGCATACTTTAACAATATTGTTCCGAATATGTTAACTCAAGTTTTAAATTCATCTGTGAGACGAACGTACTTGTGCTTATAAAATAACGGTAGGTTATTTGAACACTTGTTATAAGTTTCAGTTTATTTCCTATAATACTTATTAGCTCCTTGTTATCGTATTACAATTACATTTTATAAACTGCACTTTTGATATTGTGACTCATCTTTTTATTCAACATCGCAAAAATTCCGGCAAGTGGTAAGTTAAAATTTATTATAAATAAGACTAACCAATTTACTTCATGTATCAAAAATTAATTTCAAATATTCAGAAAACGTTTTGGGAATAAATTGTTCATAGAACCTACTTCGTGAAAAAATACCAAACCTTACATTTCATTACTGAAAGTGTACATCCATTTCTACAGTGCCCATAATAAAACGTAAACTTCATTCGAAAATGCATTTATTAAGCACAACCGTACAGTCTGAAAGCATTAGAAGTGCACCCTGACGTGTTGCTTCAAGTGTACGGGTCTTCTAAATTTCTTGCCACAAACACCGCACTCATAACTTTTAGGTTTTCCACAGTCGAGAATTAAATGCATTCTGAGTGTGTTTGCATTTTTATACTTCTTATAACACCGGTGGCAGGAAACAAGATCTGAAATTAATATAAAGTTGAAGTTCTTAAGACATTGGAACTTACTTATATTTCTATGATATATGCAACCCTCGTATAGCACGAGTTTTCTCTCAGATGGACAAAATGTAGGTATTACTTGAATTGAAATCGAAATAGTGCATTACCCGACAATATACTTCTGAAATGAAATGTGAGCAAACAAGTGAAAGAAAAAAATGAACTGAATCATTACATTAGCGGCAGAAAAATGGAAACATCATTTCTAAAAAAGATTGAGTCATCTTTAAAAACAATAGTTTCCTTACCAAGATTTTGAATTCATTTGAAGTCTTCTTCAGATCTCTGAAAAATGAATATTATAAAACTACCTGCCACAAACTCCATAACCGTGGTCATTTTTGATATTGTAAAAAATATTGATGAGATTATAATCAAATTACCCACCAAAAATTGGACTGTCAGTTGGTAACAAACAAATCAAAGTGCGCTCTCGAAATGAGAGGACTGTGTGTAAATATTTTTTCTAAACTCCACTAGATATACAATCTAACATAGTTTACAAATTGAACTATGGAAATTGTCCCAAAATCATATGTTGGCCAAACCGAACGTTATCTCAAAACAGGAGTTCCAGAATACATGACTGAAAACTGAATATCAAGAATCCCACAACCCTTGTTGACCATGAGAGAGAGCATGGACGCAATTTTTATTTTGAACATTCGACGATTCTAGCCCTTCGTTTCATCTTGTTGCATATTTGCAACAAGACCGTTTTCTATCTTTCAATTCACTTATGGAAGTCTAGTCATGTTGTTGCAATTTTGAAACATACCTACGCATTAGCTTTATCGCGTTCAGTTGGCATGGGTAAGGGTTTAGAAAACGCGGGAAGTGGTCATTAGTGACAGTGCACATGTTTCTGTTACCCGAGTGAACCAAAATAAGGATTATATTAGTAATTTCTGTGAATTCATTTGTTCCAAAGTGAAATTGGATTGAATATGGTATGTACTTCACAGTAACATGATGTTATTGCTCAAATAATTGCTCAAAAAAAACTGTTGCAAATTTGTAACACCATGGGAATTGCTACATGAACTAGGTATTTTGTTATTGTTTCAGATGTCGAGTAGGAGGAAACCGTTGACTGAAAAGGAACTAGTCGACTTTGCTAATAATTGGGCGTTTAGTGATGATGAATTCGAGGATTTTTCGATAGTTTAGTCAATCCAGCGTATGTTTCGCATTCTGAGGATGATAGCAGTGATATGGAAAGTGATGATCATGACAATATAACAAAATCTCAAGCAGAGCAAACAACTATTGCACATGTTGTTGGAAATGAGACCAGAGAAAAAGATGAAGCTGAAATTCCAGTGAATTGAGTATCAAAAGGGGCCAGTAAAGAATTAAAAAAAATAATTTGGAAGAAGAAACATTTGGTAGTTGATTCCGATTCTTTACTGTTCAGGGGTAAAACTGATCATCCTCAAGAAATATTGGATTTAGAAACTCCGTACAATTATTTTAAATACTTCTTCACAAATGAATTACTGCCCCATATAAGGGATCAAAGTGATTTATTCAGTACTCAAAAAACCCTAATTAACCAGTAACAGTTTTCACCCAAGATTTGGAAAAGTTTCTAGGCATTTGTTTGTATGTGTTTGTATGTAAACTTTGACAGTCTACACAAATTAGGACCTATTGTAGATCATCTTTGTAGAAGATTTGCATCAATTTCCTTAGTCCCCAAGCTAGCAGTTGACGAACAAATATGTCCAATGAAACCCCATAAATGGGGCTATAAACTATATGTTTTATGTGGGACTGATGGATATGCATAGAACTTTGAGATTTGCTAAGGGTCTTCAAATTTTATCACGCTGTTGTGAGGCTAGCTCTTGTCGTACCAAGGAACCAGAACTACCAATTATATTGCGACAACTACTACACATCAATACCTTTGTTTGTCCATTTAGCAGAACAAGGAATCCATATGCTTGGTAACGTGAGGATAAATAGAATTCAGAACAAAAAACTAACTGATGGAAAACTTTTCAAGAAAATGTCACGTGGAACTTGTGAGGAGTACGTGGCAAATGTAAACAATATAGATGTGAGTGTGATATCATGAAATGACACCAAAGTCGTGAATATGTTGTCTACTTGCCATGGGGAATTGCTTTCTACAAAAGTGAGAAGGTATGATAAAAAAAGAAAAGAATATATAGAAATTGATCGTCCAAAAGTGATTTCTGAATATAATCAACATATGGGTGGTGTCGATTTACTTGACAGTTACATTGGTCGCTACAAAATACCCATTCGTTCTGAAAAGTGGTACCTGCGCATATTTTTCCATTTACAGGATGTGGCGATAATAAATGCTTTCCTTCTCAATAAAAGATCATTACACCAAAAGGGAGAAAAATCATCTGGAATTCTGAACCTATGGCAATTTTGGCTTGAAGTTGCAGAATGCTTGTGTGTAATGGGTACAAATTCGTCGAGAAAAAGAGGCAGGCCTACTGCTAGTTTAGAAGCCGCGTTATGCGCTAAACTTCATAAGGGTCCAGCTGTCCATATTCCTTCAAAAAATGTAAGACTTGATGAAAGTTCGCATTGGATAAAATATGATACAAACCGCCAAAGATGCAAGCTACCACAATGTAAAGGATACACACATTTCAAATGTGAAAAATGTGGTGTTCATTTATGCCTGACAAAAGATAAGAATTGTTACAGGTCATTTCACGAATGATGAAAACTCCTTATATGGAAGGTCAACTTCGAACAAATATATAAGAGATTTCCATGGTGTTGCAAATCTGCAACAAACAATTTTTTTTGGAAAAAACATAATAAAGAGTCGACTCAAATTTATTTTTTCATCAACCTACATCATATCTCTTATTTTGATAAAATTCTTTTGTCGTGAAAGAAACAATCATGAAACGAAGGGCTAGAGGTCCAACCTTCTGAAATATAAAGTCCTCTACTTTGTTTCGACTCACAATAACGGATCCTCGAATATTCATTCATCATATGGAATTGAAAACAATGTGTAGCTACCATTCTTGGATTTTCTAGTGATGAAGTCGGGTGAAGGAAATATTAAGAGCAGATAGTTGTTGGTTCACAGATGGATCAAAAACTCCTTCCGTTTCCGGTGCAGGTGTTTTCAGGCCCAAGATAGAGATGTCAACCTGCCTAGGAAACTATGTGACTGTATTTCAAGCGGAAATCTATGTTATTGAATTGTGTGCGGAGAGATTGGTGAAATCTCACACACAGTCAATAAAATTTTTCTCGGACAGTCAAGCGGCGTTGGAAGCTCTTGACTCCTACTAAGCAACGTCTAAGTTGGTAGCAAATGGCCTAACACGACTCTTCTCAATAGAAAGAGTAAACAAATTGTCTCTGGTTTGGATTCCTGGCCACACTGGCCTGGAAGGCATTGAGGCTGCTGACTCCGTTGCAAAAGAGGGTGCTGCCAGTAGCTTCATCGGACCAGAACCTGTCATTGCCATTGCTTTAGGTTTTGTCAAACAAACATTGAACACCTGGATGATAAGAATATTTAAAGACATCTGGCAAAATCTCCCAGGATTGGCTCCCTCCAAGGCGTTCATTCACCCTTCGAAGCTTGAAACCAAACAGTTGTTGATCTACAGTAGGGATAAACTACAATGTTTAACAGGCCTCATTTTACAAGTCGCTGTCGTTTGAATCATCATATGCAGACTGGAACTGTCGAAAGACAGTATGTGTCGCCTCTGTTTGAAAGATAATGAAACAGCAGAGCATATACTTTGTGCCTGCCTGCTGCGGACCGAATTAGGTTTTCAGAGTTTGGTGGAACCACACTTTCACCATTATACCTGAAAATCACTCACCATATAAACTAATCGGCTGGGTTTATTTGGTCGAAGAAAAAAAAGAAAAATAAAATTTCTAAAATTTTTCCTGCAAGATATTTATATCACTCAAACGAAACGTATTTGGGTGTTTCGTCCCAATTTCATCATCGGATGATTCATCATTCAAAGGGATGGGACTCTTAGCAGGGATATCCTCGATTTTGAAATCATCGGGCTCTAAGCTCTGAGGATTGTGGTATTTGTGACAACTCGTCAGGAGTTCCAAGAAACGGTGCTACTATCGGTGAAGATTCACATGGTTTTGTACTTGGGTTGATATCCAAATAATTCAAGTTGACATTATTAAGAACTGTTGAGGAGGATATGAAGACATACACGTTCTCAAGAGGAATATAATTTTATTATTATTAAATAATTTTATTCAACAAAAAATCAATCACAACCTCTGGGAATTAATGAGAAGCATGTTTGATGATTTTATAACCAAGAGTGGCCATAAAAAATGTTTTACAAACTTGACTTTCGGCCCCTTGATCACTGAGGAGAAAATAATTATAAGTCACTGTACGATTCCTCATATTCATCGATGTGGGCCTTCTATTTTTACATTTTTCTCTAGTAGTATGAGAGTCTAGGAAGAGTTTTCTCTCTAGTCTTGATAAAGACCAATACTCTCTATTTATTTCCTTTCTTCTTTCTTCACTAAATCGGTAGGGGCATCTTCTTTTGCAGGAATGGGGACAAGGTGGTTTAACGTCAAACTTTGTGTCACTTATGATTTCTCTCATTCGAGGTGATCGATAATAACCTGAATTGAAAAGTATATATAAAAAAATGATACACATGCAAGCATCTAATAGGATTCTCTTACGATATCACATAATAAGTAATTTATTACCGAATTCGCTGAACTTGGTGAGCTGGATTCGCAATATCCATACCATCGAATTGTTGATAGTAGTTGTTTGAAATAACTTGATTCAAAAATAAATTCTTTAATTGTGGTGAATGTACAGGAAAATTTCGATAGAAGCTTCTATTTCTGATGTTCTAAATATTTGTTAGTATTATTTGTACTGATATTGTTTCTTTTCAATTGCATTCAACAAATTCTGGATGTTTCTTAAATGTTATTGTCTCTCTACTAATCCAACTATTATTTGTTTTGGC